ATGTTGTAAGAACGTGAAACAAGTATCATTGTTATAAATTTATTTCTTGACTAATTGCACTGTATGATTCTCTGCTGGAAATTTGTGGATCTCTAGGGACATAGAGAAAAACACATGGAAGTTGCATCTGTTAGTGTTGGAACACATCTTTGTTAGTAATTGAGATGCAAGTTACATGCACTAATAGATTATATTTCTGTGCTATAAATACTTCGAGTTGAAGATGATGGTATATTCAATATCTAAAGACTAAAATGTTAGTCAAAATAAATCGAAGTATCATCCTGTATGAAAGTTCATGAGCTTGGTATGGGTTGAAATTCTTCATAGTTCATAAAATGATAATAAAAGAAAAATGACATTTAATCCGGTTTTACTTAACTAACTCAGATGAACGATGTTTGGCTAGTGCCTTTCAAGTTTTCATATATGGATAGAGCTTTGAATAATGCCAAACGATAATAGTCGATTTAATTGCTATGGCTAGTGCAAGTAAAAGGTAAATCATATTAACCAGTGGTGCAAGTGACATAATGGTGCAACAAAGGAGATAAGACTCTTATAGCCTGAGGTGCAAGCTTAGCGCAGACGCCACCAATTCCTGCACTTCAAGTCCCTCCCTTCTTTCCTTCCTTCTTTCTTTTTTTTTTTCCTGTTTTTCCCTAAACAGTTCCATCAGCTACAGCACTGCATATGATCACTGTTGTCAATCCTTACAAAAATCAATTTTAACCCTTTGTTTTAATAGATCTGAGAAAGACAAACGTTCTTCCTATGCTCCTGAGAAGGGTTACCGATATGATGGTGTCTACAGGATCGAGAAGTGTTGGAGAAAAGCCGGAAAGCAGGTAAACAGTTTTTCTCTCATCCATACGTTCTTTTTTTAGGACATCTTGTACCACTCTATTTAACGGTATATTCAACCTCTATTCTGCTGCAGGGCTTCAAAGTCTGCAGATATTTGTTTGTGAGGTGTGACAATGAGCCTGCACCATGGACAAGGTTATGATTCACATCAGGTTATAGTTAATAATTCTGTCTAACCAGAAATATGCTTCACAATTTTTCATTTTTGTGTTCCAGTGACGAGCATGGAGATCGTCCAAGAGAGTTGCCAGTTATTTCTGAGCTTAAAGGTGCTGTTGACGTTACTCAAAGAAAGGAAAGTCCCTCTTGGGATTATGATGTGAGTAGATTCAATATAGTCCCTTATCCCTGAAAATTTCCGGGGTTTTCATAAATGACCTCAAACACACACACATATACATATAATGTATGGACGTGTAATTTGTCTAGCGAATTCATGTAAAGCTTTGAATAGTAACTTGTTAACTTTCCACTTAAAGATTGTTTAATTTGATTGGTTGTGGCAGTTGCTTGATTACTTACTATGATTTGATATTTGATAATAGGAGGTAGCATGTTGCTGGAAATGGAAAAGGCCACCACCCCATAGCGAAGAAAAAGTAGTCAGCATTAATCCCAAGGACAGGGAGAATGGAATGAAGGTGATAAGGAGAGCACAGGCTGTTTCAATGAGAGAGAGACTGCTCAAAGGTTTGAATTCCTTCCTCCACAACATTATCCTTATTATTATTATTATTGCTTTAATAATTTTTCTATGTTCCAATTTCATTCTTAATCTGTATATACAGTTATCCAAATCAAATAAGCGCTATATCTGCATGTGCTCTTCATGTAGGATTCTGTTGCCTTGTATGCAAGAACGTGATGAATCAGCCCCTCACGACTCCCTGCGCTCACAATTTCTGCAAACCTTGTTTAGAAAAACAATTTGCCGGGCAAACCTTTTCCAAGGAGAGGGTCTGCCACAATGGGCGCAAACTTCGTTCACAGAGAAACATATTGAACTGCCCTGCATGCCCCACCGATATATCAGAATTCCTCCAAAATCCTCAGGTACGTGAAATTCACAAGAACACCCAAACACATTTTTCATTTTCGTAATAGTTTGCATTTTTCTCTTTTGCAAAAATATTTATTTCTTTTTCTTTCTTTTTTCCCCACATATTATTAGGTGAACAGGGAAATCAAGGATGTTATTGAGAGACTGCAGTCGGAGATTGCTAAGGAAGAGGAACTTAAAGGCTCAAACACCACCTCAGAGGAAGCAAATGCTGGTGAAGAGAAGAATGATACATTACCAGGGGAAATAATGGAGGTTATTGAGAAACTGCAGTCGGAGACTGCTAAGGAAGAGGAATATAAGGACTCAAACACCACCTCAGAAGAAACAAATGCTGGTGAAGAGAAGAATGATGATACATTGCCAGGGGCCGATGTGGGTAAGAAATCAAATGAGCAAACAGAGGGGCAGCATGGTGAAAGTAATACCTTAAAGAGAAAAGGTAGTTCATCGAGCCTCTCAAATGATAACGAAGAGATTCACAAGAAAGCCAAAGTGGATAATGGGGATGAAAGTGTACTCTCGTCAGAGGAGAAGCCAGATGGCGACTGCAATAATGTGTTACAAGCCTCGGTAACTAAAAGGGGCCGTGGCAGGCCGAGAAAGGGAGAGCCAAAATGCTGAGAAGTTGTTGAGTGTGTCTTTTGAACATGATTGTGTGCATTATTAGCTCATTTGCTGCATGTGTACACAAAACTTGTGCAGCATGGCTTTTTCGACATCCTTGTTTCGGACGATTATTTTCTAGCGCAAAACTGTATCCCTGAATTTTATTCATGAAACTTGACTTCACACCTTTTTGAGGCGCCGAATATATTGTGGGGATAAATGCATCAGGTTTTGTTTGGGGTATGGTGTGTTCATTATTGTGATTTTAGGAAGTAACTAGCGGTAATACCTGTGATGCACGGAGTATGCTACAAAAAATATTTTATTACTAGTACAACACCCGTGTATTACACGGGTCCTTGTTAAAAAATTATTCTTAATTTTAAAATTTAAATGAGAAAACTATATTAAATTTAGTTTACTTTTTTACAAAAAAAATATATTACTATATATTTTAGAATGATATGTGTTACTTATGATTTACATGTGTTATATTATATTAGTTTTTATAACTTTTATCATATAACTACTTGAAATATAAATATATTAGTTGATAAATAATTTTATTTTTATAATTAATATTAAAAATTATTTTATTATTGTTATAAAGATAAATATAAATTATTATTTTTATACATACAATATGGATGTTAAATCGAAATTCATTAAAAGAAGATTAATTTGATATATTACATATATAAAACTGATAAAAAATACAAAGGTTATTAATTTTTAAAATATATATACAATTCAATAGTTATAATAAGGAATGATATTAAAATGCAATTAATACATGTAACATGACCATAAATAGTCAACATATTTATGGTAATCCGAACCTAATTATTTTTGGTTTGGAATTAAATTAAAATTTATCCAAGCCTAATAACGAAGCATGTAATTTTGCCACATAGGATTCCGAAGCACCAGAAGCAGCCACGTAGACTCAGCGTGTTCTGTATTAATATATAGGGGGATTTAAATATTATTAATTTTTTTAAGACTGAAATTATATTCTCTACAATATTCAATTTAGTAATAATATGGAATTTGTTTATTTAATATTAATATTGTCTATTTTTTAAATTTTTTGTAGGTTTTGACTATTTAATGCATAAATTTTATTATGTATAATATTTTAAAATATTTTAAATGTATAAGATCATATGATATCTGAATACAAATTACTTGTACTTATAAAATCGTCGATTATCATAGTTTTCTAACTTTTTCAACATTCATAATTTGCACATTGTTTGATAATTGACCAATGTTTAACCTTTAATATTTATCTTCTTGTATAATAATTCTAAGTGCATGAAATGTTAAAAAGTTTGATAAATAAATTTTCATTTTTTGTAACTTTAATCCTTATGCAACAGACAAATTATTTATGGTTAAGTATTTTTTTATATTATTTGTTTATATTTATTTCTTTAATTCATTTTTTAAACAAATATAATGAGTTAATAAGTATATATTTGAATATGTAGATATATTATATATTTCCATAATTACCAAGTGCTATAATTTAAATTAGTATACATGACTCTGTTATTTACTTTCATTTACAAAATAGCACATAAGAAATTATATCTTTTTAAAATTTAAATATTTTTTTTAATGTACATAATTTCTGGTTGAACATTATAATTTTGAATTGTACCCGACCATCAGATTAAGAGGGAGTCTTATTCATGTAATTCCAAGCTATACGTTATACGCAAACCAATCTATTAATGAAAGTGCTCTGAAGGGTAAGAGTGCTCCCCGAAGACATATTAGTTTTTATATCGCTTCTGGTTTTAATTTAGGTGTTCGAACACACCATGCGTATTCTACTTCTCCGACGTAATTTTTCATTTGGTATCAGAGCAGTGTCCCTGTTCTGTTTAAGGATAAAGAATAGAGGTCCTCCGACGACATATTAGTTGTACGCAAACCAATCAATTAATGAAATTCCAAGCTATCCATGTAAGAGGGAGTCCTATTCATGTAATTCCAAGCTATACGTTGTACGCAAACCAATCTATTAATGAAAGTGCTCTGAAGGGTAAGAGTGCTCCCCGAAGACATATTAGTTTTTATATCGCTTCTGCTTTTAACTTAGGTGTTCGAACACACCATGCACACTCTACTCCTCCGACGCAATTTTTCATTTGGTATCAGAGCAGTGTCCCTGTTCTGTTTACAGGATAAAGAATAGAGGTCTGTTAGATTTGGAACCATGAACCACGACGCAATATCAATCTAGCGCCACCTATGATAGAAATTTTTTTAAATATCACAATAAATTAATACATTTTATTATATTATAAAATATTTTGAAAGTATAATGGAATATATTTTTAAAAAATAATGCTATTAATGGGAAAATTAAAAGTGGGAAGTGAATCCGTTGCTTAATTATATAAAAGGTTCTCACACATTTTATAAAATATAAAATTAAAAAATGGCACATTTTTTTTTATTAAATATAGAGGAATTTTGCGTATTAACCCCTTATCCCCCTATATCCCCTCCCCTATATATAATTCTCAAATGTGTTGAGTCTAAGTGGCAGACTCGCATGCTTCAGAATCCAATGTGTCAAAATTTCATGCTTTGTTATTTGGCTTGGATATATTTTAATTTAATTCCAATCTAAAACTAATTAGATTCGGATTACCATATATATGTTGATTTATGATCATTTTAGATGTATTAATTTGTATTTTAATATCATTTCCTATTATATTATTGAATTGTAAATATAGTTTAATAGTTGAAAACTTTTGTATTTTTTATCGGTTTTACATATATAATGTATCAAATTAATCATCTTCTGATGAGTTTCGATTTAACATCCGTATTGTATAATATAAAATAAATAAATTATATTTATCTTTACAATAATAAAAGAAATATTTATTAAAATTAATTAAAAAATAAAATTATTTCTCAGTTAATATATTCATGTTTAATGTAGTTTTATGTTATAAGTTTGAAAAATTATTATAATATAACATATTTAAGTCGCACAAATGACAAGTGTCATACTAAAATATAATATATATATATACATATATATATATATATATATAAAGTATTTAAATTTTCAACTACTTTTTCTCATTGATTTTAAATTTTAAGAAAAAAATTTAACAAGCACCAGCGTTGTACTAGTTTGAAAATAAAAAAAAAATAAAAAATTGCCGAACTAATTAATAAGTTAAAAGATGACTTTAGTGCCTACCATATAATTTAAAATGTATGTGTATTTATATGTTTACTCGAAAAGTATACAAAGGTGAAGTGAATTTTCTAGTATAATGTTTGGAGAAATGTTACGGTTCCGTTACGGTATTATTCCGTCGGGTGTTTCAACCGTTGGATCCACATATAATTAGATAATATAACCAACGGTGAAAACATCCGATTAGATCTTACCGTAACAGGACGGTAGCATTTCCCATTTGATGTATAATTCTCAAAACAGTGTGCACGTGTGAAAGAACAGTGAAGGGCCAGTGCCGAAAAGCGGGAAGAATGTAGCGCTTTATAAATTATCTGAAGACAATTTTCTTGTATCTATATATATATAATTGCTAGCTCATGGACATTTAATAAAACCTATTAAATTATACCTATGCGGCAATATAAATTTTTCCCTCAAAAAACCGTTACTTTTTATTTATTTAACCTCTCATTTAATTATTAGATAATCAATACACTAATCACTTTAAAATTACAAAAATCATTTTAAATTTTTGTTTTACTTACAGTTTACCATATAATGTGTTGACTATTTGACGTGATTAGATGTTATTGTTGTGGTTATATTTATTAACTTCTTTTAAAAAATAAAAAACGTATATGAAATTCCTAAATAAATAATAAATAATTCACAAAGAAAGATACATACCAAAATATACATTATATCCAATATGATAATGTAATTTAAAAAAAAAAATTCAGCTCCTTTAATAATAAATTTGACAAAAATCATTAATTATTATATGCATACAAATAACTCACAATACCTTATTTATATATTTGTGCAAATGCACAAGTCGAATACTAATTAACATTAAAGCAAAAGCAAAGTTTGCCATCATTCTAGTCCATGCACTTGTCCACCACAATATTAAACCCCGTAATTAAGTTTTATTAAGAATAATAGAGTGATAATTATTAGAACTTTAAATAAGTGGAGCTTATAGCTTGTTATTATTATTCGATATTTAATAAATAAATCAGTCCGAACTCAAAACATAGTTTATTTAACCGACCATTGTACAATATGATATATTGATTCGTCGAAAATTGTTTCGAAAATTGTGCTATCATTTAGTTATATGACTAGTACATCGCCCAACTACACGAGCGAGCGACGTCTGTGAACTACACTAGTGTTTGATAAAAAAAATAAAATAAATGTGCAACAAAAATTGAAAAAGAAGTAAATTAAAAAAAGCTATAAATAATTAGTATGAAAGTAAACGAATTTACGTTCTTATTTTAAATTCTATAAAATATTTTATATGAAATATTTTTTGTTCTATTTAAAATATATTCATCTTTGTCAAAAGTAAATAAAATAATCAACAGTTATTATAACGTCTATGAATGGTACGAGTGCATTAATTAAGATAATATGAAAGGTTAAAGAATTATTATTGTAAGAAAAGTTGTATTTATTATGTTGGAATTTTAATTTTCAATGTCAGTTGCACAAATTTTGTCTTAACTAAAATTTAGAGTTACTTCTAAAGTTGATTTCAAAATAAAGTTACTTCTAAAATTGATTTCAAAATAAAATTTTTAATATGATTAAGTATTGATGAATATTGGATTTTTTTAAAAAAAATATAAAAATTAAAATATAACTACGTAGTCATTAAAAAAATTAGAAACCTCTGGAAATTCAAATCGAACCGAATCATTCTGAATGTCGCGAATAGCGTACTGAACCGAAAAATAAGAATATGCGAGCCGAACCGTCCTGAATTTTTGGTACGGTTTCAGAAATCGAA